CAACTTTCTCTCTTCTTTCTTCTTCAGCTAGGTTCGAGCCGAGAAGAAAGAAGTGTTTCTCATCTCCCTCTTGGACGAGGATTTTCTTCAGTGTTTCTTCACTCTTTTTGGCCGGCTCCTTGCCGACATCCTCTAGGACCTCCACGTCCTCGTCTTCAATTTCTGCCTTCTCTGGTTTTCGAATGCTGCATATGGATTTCATTTCTGTCATGGAACAATTCTTTACCTGCAACTGATCTCCTTTGACCTCCTCAATCCCAAATTCTGTTGGGAATCGCAATAGCTGATGCAAAGTTGAGGGAACAACCCTCATTGCATGCAACCATGGCGTTTCCAAAATGATGTTGTAAGGGAAGGGTGTGCCAATTACGGTAAACTCTGTTGTTATCTTCCTGGTGCCTGCTTGCACCTCTAAGCTGGTTGTTCCCAATGGCCATGTCGGCGTTCCATTGAACCCGACCATTGGACTATCATCAACAAGGTCTCTCAGATGGCCTTGCCTCACTAGGTCTTCCAAATGTGTTTTCAAGGCTCTACAGTCCTGAGTCATATGTCCATCTTCATTGTGGTAAACACAACGCCTACCAAGGTTTCTCCCCATAAATTCTCCTAGTGCCCTTGTTGGGGCTCTGAAATAGGGTTGGTTCCGAATTTGATCCATGACTTTGTGAATTTGGATTCGAAACATAGTTGTCACTGCCTGTGTAGCCCTCAGTTCTGCCTCTTGCTTGTTCGATCCATTGTTGCCTCGGCCTCGCTTCGGCGAGCCATTTCCTTTCTCTTGTTTTATCTCCTTAGTCCCCGATGTGTCTTCCTCGGCTCTGGCATATTTTTCAATTCTTGCCATGAGCTCTTCCATGCTTTTTGGCAATGTCTTTGCCAAAGATTTTCGTAGCGGGCAGTGGTCTTTTAGGCCGTTCTTGAAAGATACGACTGCCACCTCTTGATTATATTCGGGTATTCGGTTGAACACCTCGTAGTATCTTTTTGTATAGGCCCTAAGGCCTTCATCTTTACTGATCTTCAGAGCCATCAATGCGGTCACCCTTAATGGCTGCAGCTTGTTTGTTATGAACCTGGCCACAAACATCTCGGCCAGGCCTTCCCAAGTCTTCACACTTCCCTTTGGTAGTTTGTGAAACAAATCTGATGCAATCTCCCCAAAAGATGAAAGGAACACTTTGCAGAGCAACAGCTCGTTCCCACTATATAATGCCATCGAGTTCAAGTATAATCCAACGTGAAAGTTGGGGTTTGACTTACCATCGTAAATTTGGAACCTTGGCAAACTGAATCTCTTCGGAGCCTCAAATTTGTCAAGCTCTACCGAGAATGGTGTTCTTGGCTTTTCAGGGGAAGTTACCTCGGCACCGGCATTCTGCTTCTTCCTCTTGAGGTAATCTCTCAAGTCTTCTTTGCTCCGTTCAGGAGTTCGGCTATTTCCTAACTTCAATCTTTTTGGCATATTACTTTCAACTTCATGATGGGTCCTTTTTGATTTTTCTCCGTGAGTTGTGTCGAAGCAGAGTGCTTGCCCCCGAATATGCTGATGTTCTTTGGGGTCTGCCTCCTTGGCGTGGTGCATTCTTCGCGACTCTTCTCTCTTCGACTCTCTTCGCCCGACCTCCCTAGAAGGCCGGTGAGAGTGTTTTTCGCTTCTAGTGTGCTAAGGGGCTATTGGGATTGTCTTCTGCCCTCCCTTCTGGGCATTCGCCGCTGGAATCGGCGTGTCATACAACGGGTATGGTGGCTGCATGGCATTGTTTTGCATCATGGAATTGACGATCGATTGTAGGTCTGCCAATTTGTTTGCTATCTCCTTTACCTCTTCATCCCTCCGTAGGCATCTATCCTTCCATACTTGGAGGTCATCCTCATTATAGTACCCACTTTGATCTGGCTTCTTCGGTGCATCTCCATCTTGGCCAACGTCTTTCTTGCTGTGATTCTGGTCACGAGTTTCTGTGTTGTGGTTGTCTCCTTCGACGTCAAGGTCGATAGGTCTGTCACTCCCAGCAGGAGTGTCGTCCCCAATCTTTTCCTTCTATCCGTCACTGGCCATCTATTCTCTTTTTTTTTTTCACAGACGACTCCAAATTGTGTGAGTGATTTTCCGATCACACTACCCAACTTAGTAATCAGCTGGAGAATACTGGCAGAATAGATGACACCTGGCTGACCTGCAACAGAAAGAGAAGATTCCGGCGGTGGTTCGTCCACCAGGGAGCACTCCGACGATCAAGTCAGTATATCTCTCAAAGATAATCAATAGTGCTAAACTTACTGTTCAGAATATAAATTGCGTATCTTAGACCAATGAAGATGCCTCTTTTTTATAATTAACTCAATCTTTGTCCCACTAGAAGCCTAGCTTTAATGGACTCTTCCTCAGTGCTTATCCTAGACTCTCTAAGAGATAAAGCTAAACTCCCTAAGAGCTTTATCCTTATCCATGCCATAGTCCTTTCTTATTCTAGGACTCTTGTCCCTTATCCGTTTATCTTGAATTCCGATATCTTCGGAGATAACCTCGGTTTTGTCGAGATCACCTCGGCGTCATGTCCTGGACACGTGGCACCTCGGCTGACACGTCGGCGTCACCTTGGCCACGTGTTGGGACTCAGAAAATATATCCCCACACTAGCATATGATTTGACTCTCTCTCTCTCTGGTGCCAATTTGTTGGAATTATTGATTGTATCTCTTGTTTTGACATTTGATTAATCAATAAAGTTTATTTTGTCGATAAAAAAAATTTCGTATCATGTATATCATAAGATATATGGGATTGTTTGGGTTTTACTTATTTAGTAAATTTTTTGATTTTTTACGAAAAGATATGTAAAAAAAAAGAGGTAATGTAACCTAAATAAGTGCATTTATCCAAATAAGTACACTTATTTAGATAAAAAGAAGTGTTTTCATATAAAGTACTAATCATATATAATCATTTGACTCTCATTTGAAATGCAATTACTAATCATATAATCATTTGCCACTCATTAGAAATGCAATCATGTCCATGACTACATAAATTTGGATACAAATGATTGATAAACCTATATGATTAATTAGATCATGAACCAATTATGATTTACAATCCTTAAAATCTCAAAGGAAGTCATAAATTTTGTTGTTTGAAATTAGCAAAGAGGTGTGTGGGACCAGCATATCTTCTTGCAGCTTCTGTTTTGTCTCAACTTTGTTTGCAAATCAGAATCTTAATCTTGTGCAAATTGGTATCTTTGTCAGGTCATAAGAAAACTTAACTACTCTTAGATCTCCTCAAATATTTGCATGTAAGTATGTATTTCTTCAACCATTTATTGGGTATTCTCATAATGGATTTTAGTTTAAAGCTTTCTTCACAAATGATTTGATTAGTCATAGGTTGGGATGTAGGGACTTGATGAGAAGAGAACTCCACAAATTTTAAATAATCAAATAAAAAGTGCAAGAGAACAGAAAAGTTTTACAGAATCAAATACAAATATGAGATAAAGAGGGAGGTGGGTCACGGTGACTACTTCTGTGAAATTTTCTGTGCTCGTAACATAACTGATAATCAAAACAGTGAAAGTAAACAAATGATGTTTTATTAGCAAAGAAAGTTATTGTTAGAAAATGAAAGATCAAGGTTCGGATTCTAGTTTTGTTATTAAAAAAAAAAAAAAAAAAAAAAAAGGAAGCACGCACCAGCCTTGATCATTCAGTTTCTTCAAGTTCTCTAAGTTCAAATTTTTTGTCATTTTTATAAACTATTTTCAATCGTTTCCGTTTTCAATTTGTTGACAGAGTCTTATTTGTGCATTGGTTCACTATTGTTTTGTTCAAATTTATTTGGGCAAATTACATATACACCCCTCGAGGTTTGGTTAAATTACAGATACCCCTGAGATTTTAGAAATTACATCCCGCCCCCTGAGGTTTGTATTTTCATAACAATTTACTCCCTGAGGTTTATATTTCATAACAAATTACCTCCTAATTTCTTATGCAAATATAGCATTCAGGGGGGAATTCGTAATTTCTCAAACCTCAGGGAGATATTTGTAATTTAGCCAAACCTCGAGGGGTGTATATGTAATTTGCCCAATTTATTTCTATTTCATAAATACAGTAGCACATATAGCATTGTTTTTCTAACAATTATTAAGTGAAACTTTTAAATATAAGATTAATGCTATACAACCGAAGTTTTTATAAGTAATTTTTGTAATTCTTTTAAGTCCCTCTCCTTTTATAACAAAACATTCTTTAGTTCAATGATATCAAAATTAAGAGATATTTAGAATTATCTAAATAAATATATTTTTTGATTTTTTATAAAAAAAAATGTGCAGAAAAATAGAGAGGTAATGTGATCCAAATAAGTGCACTTACATAGATTATTCCAAACACTCCACCATTGTAAAGTGATTCACATAATTTCTAACATAGTTCTATTATGAATAAAAAAATCAGTCACAGAACTTAAAATAAAATATACATTAATAGATATGATTTTATAAAATTAATTGTTAAGATCGACATTTAAAAATCTTATCCATCTATATATATTATGTGTCTGATTTTGTGTAGTTAAATTTATTCTTTTTAAAGTGATTCCATTACTAAAATTTATACTAAATTTTCTTTATAGATAAAAATACCCACCCCTCAACCACCATATTTTGAGATGTGGATCTTGTGAAGAATGAGATTTGGAAAAAAAGCAATGCAAAGTTGACAGAAGCTAACAGTTGTCACCAATGATAAAAACTATTTTTGTAAATTGTGATGTGATGAGCTTTGATCTTGCTTGCTCCCCAGAATCAATCATTGGTTTTTTTTCTTCTTTTCATTTTTTTCCTTTCTTTCTTTTTATTTTTTATTTTTTTATAGAGAATTTCATAATGTCCACCTAAGTAGGGCCCATTTTCCTCTCTCTCCAACCCTTTCTCCTATATATATATAAGGCCTCTTTGACAAAGTTTTCATTCAAGAGTTCTCTTCTCTCATCTCTCTCAACTCTCCACATAACAGCTTTCTCTACACTTTCTGTTTGATCAGCAAAAAGAAAAGAAGAGAAAGACGAGAAAGAACTGTTTCATTAACTCAAAATAAAGAAGTACATTGAGATAATAAGTTCTCATTCAACAGCTTTATCTACACTTGCAAGAAAGCTAGTTATGGCTATAGAGATTGAGCAACAATCATCATCAGTTGGGCTATCGAGAGTTGCAGTTTCTGAAACTCATGGAGAGGACTCTCCATATTTTGCAGGATGGAAAGCGTACGACGAAAACCCTTACGACGAATCAAACAACCCATCAGGAGTCATTCAGATGGGATTGGCTGAAAATCAAGTAAGTACCAACACAATCTGACAGTATCAACGATATAGTCATATATCAACTGATATTGAATAGTATTGGTTGATATATCTGTGAATATCAGTATCGGAAGTCTAGAACTTGAAAGTGACCTTTGTTTTGTGATTTCTTGCGTACAGGTTTCATTTGATTTGCTAGAAGAGTTCTTGGAAAAGCATTCAGAAGAAGCCAGCTGGGGGAAAAAATCTTCTGGCTTTAGGGAGAATGCTTTGTTTCAAGATTATCATGGACTACAGTCTTTCAGAAAGGTATAGGGCCTGTTTCACATGGTTTTCATTTTTTGTTTTTGTTTTTGTGTTTTCAGAAACAAAAATGATGAAAAGTTTGAAAAGTGCCATCATTTTCATTTTTGTAGGATATAGTTCAAAAAAAAAAAATTTTGAAAACAGCTTTTGGACGTTTCTTAAAAATGGGTAGTTTTTGAATTGTTTTTTGAAAACAGTTTTTGGAACAACCAAGCATAATATAATATAATTCTAACTCTAGTGCAATTGTTTGCGTGTTAATTCAGGCAATGGCAAGTTTCATGGAACAAATAAGAGGGGGAAGAGCAAAATTCAACCCTGATAGAGTTGTTCTAACAGCCGGTGCAACAGCAGCCAATGAGTTGTTAACCTTCATTTTAGCCGATCCCGGTGATGCTTTGCTTGTTCCAACACCTTACTATCCAGGGTAAGTTCTAATCATCTGTAAAAAGTTTTTTCTGTGCACTTTTTTGAACACGTAACATTGTTGATTTTTAATACTAAAATTAATATCGGTTGATATATGATTGTAACTCAAATATTTATGGATATTCCAATAGTGTTAATTAAAACTATGATGCTGATCGCAAATGTTACTTTTTCAGATTTGATAGAGATTTGAGGTGGAGGACCGGCGTAAAGATTGTACCGATTCACACTGACAGTTCCAACAATTTCCAAGTCACTCCTCAAGCTCTAGAAGATGCATATAACAGTGCACAAGCCATGAACATCAAAGTGAGAGGAGTACTCATAACAAACCCCTCAAATCCCCTCGGTGCCGCCCTTGACCGGTCAGTCCTGGAAGAAATCCTAGACTTCATAACCTGCAAAAACATCCACCTAGTCTCTGACGAAATCTACTCGGGATCCGTATTCTGTCCGTATGAATTCATCAGCGTGGCAGAAATACTCAAATCCCGAGGCTACAAAGATAGTGAGAGGGTCCATATTGTCTATAGCCTTTCCAAAGATCTAGGCCTACCAGGCTTTAGGGTTGGGGCTATTTACTCATACAATGACAAGGTTGTGACAACTGCTAGACGAATGTCAAGCTTCACTTTGGTCTCTTCTCAAACACAACAACTCTTGGCTTCCATGTTATCAAACAAAGAGTTCACAGAGAATTACATAAAGACAAACAGGCAAAGGTTGAAGAAGAGGTATCAGATGATCATCGATGGGTTGAGAATGGCCGGTATTGAGTGTTTACGAGGGAACGCGGGGTTATTTTGCTGGATGAATTTGAGCCCATTGCTGGAGAAACCTACAACAGAGAGTGAATTGGAGCTTTGGAATGAAGCTTTGAGAGAGATGAAGTTGAATATATCTCCAGGGTCCTCTTGCCATTGTTCCGAGCCAGGTTGGTTCAGGGTTTGCTTTGCTAATATGAGTGAGCAAACACTTGAAGTAGCTCTCAAGAGAATACATAATTTCATGGAACAAAGGAAGATGAGGAGTAAAATTGTTCTCTGTTCTTAGTTACATTATTTTTTGGATCAAACCCATTTCAAGAACTGGGTTATAGTGTCGGATAAGTTGTTTTGAAAGAGCAAGGTTCCTCTAAAATTTTTTTTTCTTAAAGTTTTCTAGAGTGGTACATTGTGTGGTTGAGATTTAATGACAAGTCACATTAATTTTTCAACATTAAATCTCGACCACAAAATACACCATTTTAGGAAACTTTAAGAAAAAAACACTCTAGAGGATCCTTGGTGGTTTTGGAATTGACTTTTTTTTTAGTCATTTTTTAACTTTTTGCAAAAAGTCATGCAAAAAAATAAAGAGAAGAGTTAACTTTTTTGTAAACTTTCTGAATTTTTTACTAAAATGTTGCCTTCCCAAAATAAGTCTGATTTGAGAATTTGAAATACAAATTTTTAGCTCCTTTTTGGTTCAGCAAGTCCTGTATCAATTATATACATAATGGAAGAGTAATGCTAGACATGAATGAAATATTATGAAATATTTCATGAAAATTTTTTATTCTTTAATTAGTGTATAATGCTTTATTATGTGTATAATCTAAGAATAAAAAATTTTTATAAAATTTTCTATAATATTTTTTTTTTATGATACTTAACATTGAAAACCTCTACAAGTTTTCGTAGATGTTTTCTTTTGTGTGAGTTGTGACCCGACAACAGGTTTTCTCATGTTAGTTGTGCCACATTTTATTTTATTTATTTATTAAAAAAAGCTAGAAACTTGACTTGGTCAGTATTCAAATTTCAAGTAAAAAAACTAAGAAATTTTTGCTAGATATACATTGCCAAACTTCTCAATATGATTTATGTTTCATTTTGATTCATGATATTTTAATTGTGTGGATTTGATTACAACTTATATGTATTTGAATGGTCCCACATTAAAAATGTATCCATTCCGCTATAAAAATTGCACAAAAACAGCACTACAAGAAGCATTTAAACACAATTAGGTAAGTTTGTGATCAAATTGAGATAATTTAAATATCAAAAACTAAAATGGCACAAATTGCATGTATTTGGCGTCCCCAGTATATTTAAGCCTTTTTTTGGGTATGTCAGACGGAAAAGGGAGGATACTCAACTCATAACCTTCTAATGATATACATGGACTCTGACTACTAGATTAACCAGGATAAATTTTGTGGAGTTCCCTAACAAGATATTCATATGTGGATGGAGAGAATAGGAAATACAACTGCAATATGTGAACATAGTCTAAACTCAGCTGAATCACAATTTAATGGTACAATTAATAAACTTCAACAAATAAGATTTGGAGAGATTTGTAAAAGTTTAAGTGTTCAAAGATCCACAATGAAGCTAAAGAAAAGAAAAGAAAATGTAAACAAAGTCAAAGAAAATGCAAAGAAAGTCAAAGTTGAGAGTCAAATGGCACATCATTTTCGTCTTATAATGTATTATAATACTTCATATGTTGCATGCGCAAAAATTAATATGATTTCAATTAATGTATGGTCCACCTTTTATTTTTCTTCTTTTCTTTTTTGCATTGCTGGAAACCTTTATTTTTGTGCCAATTGCCCTGTGCTTGCTGTACCAAACACAAGAAGTTTGCACCACCAAACTCCAAAAATGCATATGCTCTCATTTGAGTATCATCAACACACAAAACCAAGTTGTAAACCAAATACTATTAGACCTTGTCAACATGCAATCTTTAGAATTAGTGAAATGTTAAGTAATATATATATCTATACGTATTAATATATATATATATATATAGCAAACACCTTTATTGATATAAGAAAGTTGGCTCAGTGATCTATATAGTTATCCATTGAAATAATGAGAAGGTTAGAGATACAAGTTTCGAATTGATAAAGTGACTGCAGTCCTTCGTTATAATCTAACTTACTAATCCCTAACATCCTATCGTAGGCCAAAAAATAAAAAATAAAAAAACATCTCTGCAGATTTAGTTGTCACTTTTTTTTTCTTCTCCTCGAAAATGCCCTTAAAACATGATAACTGCTATAAATTGCTTGAATTCTCTCAAATTATTTCAAATATTACAAATTACACAGATATAGTGTGTATACACTAGTGGTGGGCACACACTACTTGTGTAGAATTTCAAATAATTATGATCTTTATTTGAAGCTTTTGAGATCTTAAAACCGTAACAATTATCATGTATATGGATATTTTAGGTATACAAAAATTGGGACAACACTTCTTCTAAGTTGTGTGGTTGGACTTTTCTCTAGTCCTTAATCGAACTGCAGAGGTACTCTTAGATTTATTGAGCCTATTTTTGGATTTTGTTTCAATTATTCAAACCATTCACATTTTAGAGTTTGTCGTGTATATTATTCCTGTATAAAAAAATCAAGTCGATCGGATAATGACAACGGTGTATTAGGATCAATTTTGTATGAAAAAAATGAACGGTAAAAAAATAATCGATTCATACAAAACTGCTCTGAACACGTGATTGTCATTATTCAATCGACTTGATTTTTTGCAATCAACTTGCTTTTTTGCAGGATGTGTAATCGACAAACTCCAAAATGCGAACGGTTTAGAATACCGAAAATGACCAAAAAATGAGCCCAATAAGCGCAACATCACCTGTCCCGTTTGATTAAGGACCGGAAAAAAATCCAATCCTTTTATAATAATATAGATATATATTTGAAGATGTGTTCAAAATTTGAATCTATAGTGTAATTTAAACTTGGATTGGTATGTGTCACATTCATGAATCTGATCCATAAATTTCAAATTTTAGACAGTTTCTAATATTTTTTTTAATAGGTAAGTAGCATTGTTATTTGAATTATTATGTCCTCTTATATCTTTGAATAATATTAAGATTACAAATTTTATTTTTGAACACCAAAATTACTAATTTTCTGACATGATTACATGTCATCCAAGTGGGATCTATTGTACAGATACAATAATAACACCTCAAATGAGATTTAAATTTGGTACACAAAAGTCACCACAACATTACAACATGTTTCCCCATAGGTTGTCGGGACCAAACTCAGTTTTAATCCTCGGTTCTACTGAGTCTATGGCAAATTAAATCAAGGGTCGAGTTGACAAATTATTTACTAGGTTCAAAAAGTTTGTTAATGATTAAATACTATAAAAAAAAAGTTATAATTGTAATATAATATTTTCATGCACATTTCTTGACCGTCCTATAATTTAAAAATAAGAACTCTCCTGCAATTTTAAACTAAATTGCAACTCAAACCCTGTTTTTTTTTTTTGAAATGGCAAAGAAGATCTTTATTGATGAAAATATGTAAAAAGATATAAGACATCAATAAAGAGGAGCTTGGAGCTAAATGAAGCTCCAAGCTCCAGTTGGTGAGAAACCAACAGAGAAACAGGAGAAAAAAAAACAAAACAGATCAGCAGCCAAGAAACCCAGATCAGTAGCCAAGAAACACAGCACAAACTCAGTGGATCAGACCATACTAGGCCTTACATAGCAGACCAACATCCAGCAGAACTAGCAAAGCAACTGAAGACTTGAGCCTAAACCAGAGAGCAGACCAACAGATCAGACCAACCAAAAAGCAGACCAACCCAGAAACCAACAGATCAGATAACATCCAGCAACTCAACTCCTTTGCTTATCAACTGACCAATAGAATCAGACCTAAACATAGCCAGAACAGAGCACCAAGGTAGAACAGAGCCGAAGAGCAGACCAACCAAAGAGCAGACCAACACCGCAGAGCCAGACTGATAGCCGAACTGCCTTCCAGCAGGTAGAACAGAGTAAAACAGCAGCAAGGAAGATCAATCTGAGCCCCTGATCTGCTTCCACTTGAAGACTATATCATCCACTGAGAAGGGGAAATCCTTGACTGATGCTTTGAGCCAGAGGGCATATCTAAATTTGATGAGATCCAGCAGACCAGAAAAATTAGGCTGAGCCTTAGAAAACACACAGTCATTCCTATGCTTCCAAATAGACCACAATATGACTAAGGGGAGAGCTCTCCAAATAATTCTAACATACTTCTGAAATTTCTCACTCATCCACAAATGAAATAAACCAGCTACTGAATTTGAAATGCACCATTGAAGCCCTCATTCTTTAATCACTGAAGACCAAATCAGCCAAGAGAAAGGACAATGAAGCAAGACATGGATATTAGTTTCAGGATCAGAATTACAAAATGGACAGAGAATCGAAGTACTGCTATCAAGTATGCCAATCTTGTGCAAGAACTCTGAAGATTTCACTTTATTTTTCCAGGCCAGCCAGCAAAAGAAGGAGACTTTTGGGGGCAACAAAGAGCTCCATACTTGTTTGCAAATTTTTAGATTAGGGCCAAGGAGGGAAGAGCTGTAAGCATATAGGTCAGATACAGAGAACTGATTATGGGCTGCAGCATCATAAGACCATATAAGGTAATCTGCATTTTCATTACATAAATGAGGAGCATAGGATAAAACTGCAATCAAATTAGCTTCTTCAATCAATTCCCAATCATACAATTCTCTTCTATACGGAAAGTTCCAGGCACATGAGCTGGTTTTCCTGGCAAAGAAGTGGTGGAGAGAGCCTTCTTTATCAGTTGAGAGGTTAAAGAGAAGTGGAAAATCAGATTTCAGGCAAATAACACCACACCATCTATCAGTCCAAAACTTAATTCTCTTCCCATTCCCTACTTTAATTAGACAATTGGCCAAGAAGAAATTAAAGATGGAGTTGCTGGAGGCCCTAATGGATAAGATGTCACTCCATATTCTAGAATGCTTATAAGAGGGCCTTACAGGAGGATGCCAACAGTCCTCGATAATCTTGTATTTGCTGCAAATTACTCTCCTCCAAAGAGCATTGATTTGGGTCCCAAATTTCCACCACCATTTAAGTAGTAAACAAGAATTTACATCTCTGATTCTTCTGATGCCCAGACCCCATTGGTCAATACTTTTTGTAGCCTCCACCCACTTCACTAAATGAACTTTCCTTTTTAGATTATTGCCACCCCACAGGAATGCAGCCTCAATCTTTTCCAGTTCTCTAGCCACACCTTCAGGCATTTTAAACAGGGAAAGGAAGTAGATAGGTAAGCTTGAAAGTGTAGACTTAATCAAGGTTAGTCTGCCTGCAAATGATAATAACTTTCTCTTCCACCCTGACAGTTTAGATTTGATGTTATCAAGAACAGGCTTCCATGTAGATTTCCTACCAGGATTGGCTCCTAATGGTAGTCCCAGGAATTTTAAAGGGAGGCTCTGCACCTTGCAGTTGAGAAGATTAGCAAAGGAAAGCATAAGATCATCAGTTACACCAATGCCACACACAACACTCTTATGATAGTTGATTTTGAGACCGGATAGAACTTCAAAACATCTGAGAATTCTTTTGACTAACACCAATTGATCCCAATGAGCTTCACAAAAGAGAATTGAATCATCAGCAAATTGCAAATGTGAAAC